ATAATAATAATAATAATAATAATAATAATAATAATAATAATAATAATAATAATAATAATAATAATAATAATAATACCTGTAATACTACACTTTAGCAATAAAAAAAAATAATAATACCTGTAATAAAGTATTAACTAGTTTCAGCAAACGACGTGCATTGCGTCTTATCATTTCTAGATCTTGGATAATTGGCGAAGATGGAGAACATGTAGTAATTACATCTTCAAGTGGGGCTAACATGAGTGTTAAAGGAGCTACACAAAGAAGATGATGATGATAAATAAAGAAAAGAAAATAATAAGAGAATAAATAATAAAAAAGAAAAGAGAATAGTCAAAAATTCAAAAAAAAACTCACTTCGCAGCTCATGAGAAATATTTTGAAAGAACATGATTTTTTGGCGATTAAGATCAGCCAACATTTCCGTGTTTTTTCGTTCTTCTTCGCGAGATCGTCCATTACTCAAACCAGTACCAAAGTGATTAGCAACAAGCTATGCATAATAATATAAATTTATGAAACTAGATAAAAAAATATGAATAGTCATCGCAAGCTAGAATTAAGATAAAAACAAACCTGCAAAAATTCCATATAAGTCTCATCAAGAGCACAGTGTGTATTAAGACCACAAATTATAATAGCGTTCAATATATTTTTTCCACCGATAGAAGTCGACACGGGAAGCATGATCGCCTGGGAATCATTAGCGAGGTTGACGACAACATGAGAGTTAGTTTGAATTACTTGATGGATGGGCCACGGTTGATTTGATGATATCGGTATGGTGTCGTAATTATTTTTATTAGTGGTTGACGTATTCGTAAAGGGCGGTGAAATTGAAGGAGAAGGAACTTCTTCATTGATATTATTCCTACTACAAATATTAGTATTCTTCTTAAAAGTTGATAACGAAGGTATAGACGTTGATTTATGGAGATTTTCGATATCAGTAATATCAACGAGGTTTTGTGTGTTTGATAGGAGATCGGGTAATTCTCTTGATGAATGTCCATCCACAAACTTCATTTCCTCGACTCCATCCTCGACAATTTGAGTGTCCAGATTCTGATCGAATGTGGTGGCAGTCAGACGCGCAAACTGTGTTCGAGCATATTCTGTGGCATGGTCCTCTATTAGATATAATAGTGCGTATGGAATGTCGGCGTCATGTTTACGAAGAGTTGCGGTGACTAGGTGACAGGCGCCTTCTATGGATTTTGCACCTATTGATTTTTTGATTGTTGGGATTATTATTATCATCGTTATTGTTTTCAAGGTGAGAATTTTAAAGGTATAAGTATATAATTAATGTAGATTACCAAGAGTAAGACGCCCCAATTCGCCCAAAACTTTTAATCGTCGAGCTGTAATAACACGTTTTGTCGTCTCCTGAACACAATTAAACACGCCACCAACTGTTCCATCTTTTTTAAAGATTGGGCTAAAGGTGAATGAAAAGTATGTTTCTTCCGGGTACCCTTCCCGATTCAGGTAGAATAATAGATCTTCATTGAATTGGCCTTTTTTTGTTGCATAGACACTGTTATTATTTTAGTTGTTTTGTATATTGTAAAAATATAATGGGGACGAGACGAAATTGGAATCAGTGAAAGTTTGATCAAAAATAATAACACGAAGAAACAAATTGATCATGAATTAATTAATACTAACTCTTCAAAGATCTTTTCCAATTTTTCCCTTACTTCTGGCCAAACTTCTTTCAGTGTCTTACCCAAAGCTATAATAATTTTACGTCTTTTATATCACGTGATTCAGATAGAGAAAACACGTGATGAAAAGAACAAAAATAACTACTAACCATATGGATGTTTCATTTTTAAAATCGGCCGCCACACTATATGATTAAAAACCGCATTTTCCGATTAATTGTTGTAGTAATTTGACACGGAACATTTACAGGGAAAACGTGCTTACTTTGATTATAGATGAGTGTATTTTCCGGTCCGTAGTATATTGCCATTGGAAATGCAGCGTGCATGCATAAATCCTATGATAATAATAATGGAAATCCAAAATTAGATATGAAAGACTAAATACTAGACGCACAATGAATAATTTGTTTCGAATTTTTCACATTCTTTTATTCACTTTCGCAAATCTGATTCCATAAGCTCTCCTATCTGGACAACAAGCGTGTCAGGCACGAAGAAAAAAATATATCCGAATAAACTACCAAAAATCCGAATAACTTACCACATTTGCCCTTAACGAAGTAGACCATGTGTCCATAGCACCAAGAGGAGTAGACGACCAGTCAAACGAGTAGACCAGATCGGCCATAGGTGTTTCATTCTCATAGGTATTCATGACATTATCTATTGTTTGTCTCTTAGAGTTTGTGAAAGATATGTACTCCTTTTCTATGTGTTTTTGGGCGACGACAGTGATGATGAAAATAATATTAAGTGTTTGTGAGCGCGTTATTGATGTTAGTGATGGCGATGGCGATGGCGGCGGCGGTGGTGATGGCGATGATGGTGATAATGATGATGGTGATGGTGATGATGATTGAGGATAGATTAGTACAATAAAGAAAGAGATTTTAATTAATGCTATAGTTCATATATCACTAATATATAAAATTAAAATTATAAATCCAAGTAAATTCTCGTACACCAAATATAAAAGGCGCGTTATTTCTGATCGACGAATGAATTATTCAGAGAAAAGAGAAAAAGAAAAGGATAAGGTATGTTGAATGAGAATAATGAAATTTAATTTCTATATAAAATAGGTGCATGTATTTCTCACGTTAATTAGGAATAAATATAGTTAAAATAAAATCATTGTGACCAAAAAAAAGGGGGGGGGGGTCTAAAGTACACCTGTTTTACCCACCCAAAGATCAATGATGGTGGATAAAATATATGTCGTTTTTTTGTACGTAATCCCCACTCACCAACTTCAACTTCTACTTTTACACTAAAGCCACGCTCAGAATTTTTGCTCTTCTTTGGGACAGACATATTTGTATGAACATCTCAAAATTTACCAATATTCCCAAAAATGTTAAAAAATGACTCATTATAATAATAATAATATTATTATTATTATTTTTTTTTTTGATCATATTTTTTTGCAATTGACCCACACACACACAATTGATTACTAACCACAAAGTGCGTTCACTTCTGCTTCCTGCGACGACAAATTCATCATTCGCGTTTGTGTTGTTGTTGTTGTTGTGTATAGTGTATAATAATGGTAATATGTAAAGAAAAAAAGGATTGAAGTTTATTGTGGTCGAGAACTGGTCGAGAGCGGTCGAGACCGTGAGTCCATTCGTTTTTAGATAAATGCTTTGCGTTTTTGATCTTCTTATAAGTGCTACAAAAATTCACGTTGATTAGATAAGGAGTAAGTAAATTTTTATAATAGCATGTATATAGATGCTAATATAAATAACTATATTATAATACATGTATACCATTGTTTATCAGAAAACACGTTCGTCAACCAGATATCAATTACATACTTACATACTTACATACTCAATTACACATGCGGTGACTCAGCACACAGTAACCATTACCCATTGTCTGTCGCTGCCAACCTTTGTTTTTTCTGATTGTGTCGTATTCAGCTTAAAAACGGCTAAATTATGTTAGTGATTATATTATGTTGCTTACCTAAGTTAAACATTGAAAATCTTATCCAGTTCACACACTAATACATGTATTTAACTTGAACTATTATGATATTTTCGATAAATTATGTAATTATTTGTGTAATGTCATTTTCATAGGTTCTGTGTAGTGGGCTGATTTTATTTTTAGGTTCTGTGTAGTGGGATGATTTTACTTTTGACATTTTCATAGGTTCTGTATAGTGGGATGATTTTATTTTTTTGGAATGACTCAACTTTTTGGTTTTTGCATAGGTTCTGTATAGTGGGATGATTTTATTTTTTTGGAATGACTCAACTTTTTGGTTTTTTCATAGGTTGTGTGGTTTTAGCGTTAGATGTTCGATCGTTGCCAAGAAATAATGGCAATCAGTTAAATCAAAATTAGAATCAAAGAAATATTGAAAGTGAATTCGTTCGTTTGTTTGTTTGTTCAAGAACCTCTATTTAGAAATTCTAGTATTATTTACACAAGCATGCACATGTACATGTTTGTTCACTTAATCTCTTGCAGAAACGGAAAATTTTTGTTCAGATTATTTGCATAACAATTATTTGCCGAACACGTATATAAAAAAGGCTAATTTTTCGAATATTCATGCGTTGTGGAGAAAATAAGCGCGAGAATAATTGGTCAATTTTTTGTTATCGAAAAATTCGAATACAGTCGGATATACCGACGTGCAGATTCTTTTCTGTGATCTTTTTCATTTGTGCATATATGCATTCATTGACACAAGGTTCTGATTCACAAATATTAAGTATCACCAGTTTTTGTTAGATTAGCAAAAATGAGCTTCTTTGATGTATTATATTCAGCAAAAATTTTCTCATTTACACAAAGATGTAACTTGTGCCCACCCGCAGTAACACACCGAGAAAAAGCCGCCTTCACGTGATTCAGATTCCGATACCACCCAATATGCCTTACTCTAACTCTGGTCATATTCCTATTCTCATTTTAGATACTTAGGAAATACATAACAGAATCAAATTTACTTTATTAGATCAAAAAATGTACCAATTATTTGGTGCTGCATTACTCCCAATGTGTCAGACTGCAGTTATAGCGGGTGGGCACAATTGTTGCAAATAAAAGTCTACAATCACCACACAATTCTATTATAACTCAAAATCTCTGCAATACCAAACAGTGGCTCTTGCTTAAATGCTTAACTAATGGGTCTTACTTCCTAAGCCGACGAAAGAATACTAAGAAACTTTCGATATATATTTTTTACATAATACAATCATGGCTTGATTTATCATACACAACAAACAAACATTCTTATCATACTAATCGGTTTAATGCTGAAATTAGCGCATCCTATTGGCTGATCAATTTATATTCACTAATTTCATTGGTTAATTTCAGCATCAGCCGTGACAATAAATAAATTCGATAATCATTTCTAATTAAGTAAAACGACGTTAACAATTATGTGAAAAAACCACATACATGTACAAGAGAAAAAAATGTCATAATTACAATTCAGAAGATAAGAATTAAGAATTATTTCTTTTTTTTAAATATCAATTATGTCTGATAATATTTCTAATTACCAACGAGGACAAGACTTTGAACAAAAAATTCATGAAGATTTGATCGCTGTAGGAATTGTTGGCGGATTCCGTGAGTATTTTTTACTCTAAGTATTTGCTGAGGTATTATGTATCTGAAGTTACGCTGCCACTAGATGTAAAATCGGAGAATTTGAAAGCGCATCGTGGCCATATTTTTTTTAAAAAAAAAATATGAACGTTCATCGAAAAGGATTTGGGAAGTATGGACCAAGTTCCTGTGGTGAATAGGATACATGAATAAAACAAGAAGAAATATGACGTATAACTGTTATTTTATCTTGATAACGATGACACAAATATTTTTTAAATGAGTAGATATATACAAGGTGATGGTGGTTGTGATCTAGAAGAAGAGGTTATGAGAACTCCAATTGTTTTTCAGCTTAAAGATTGGGAAGAAAGAGTTTGTGTAGATATGGTCCGCGATTTAGAAGGTAATTTAATTAATTTATTTGAATTATTTTTTTAATAATATAATTATTTATTTATTGTTTAATTTTTAGGTGTTTTATCATGGTACCCTATAGAAACAATTGGAATTCTTGTAACTTCAAGAATAGATGAATTTTGAGAGATGCGATTTATAGAGCTGAAACATCCAATTATAATATATTATTAACAAATAGACAAAATATTATTATAGATTTATTATATATTATAAAAAAAATAGAAGATAAAAGAATATAAAATATTAAAATGAAAAAAATTGTTTAGAATTAGAAAATAGATTAGAAAAAGAATGGAACAAGAAAGATTAGAAAAAATAGTTTATTTGTATTTTTAGTATTTTTATATATTTTATTTTAATATAAAAATAAAAAAATATTAATAAATTAAAAACTTTTATATAAGATAATTTTAATTTTTATAATTTTTATTATGTTTTATTAATAAAATTATAGTGACTTTATAATTTTGTTAGTTATTATATATACTTATGAAATAAATAAAAATTGGAAAAGAAAATAAACAAAAAGAAAAATAAATAAAAAAAATATATCTAAGTTTTATGCCAATTCTACTAAAATTATATATTTTGAAGATAAATAAATATTAAAAGAAAAATGATTTAATTTTAAATAAATAATATTCTAATTCTTTATATTAGTATTATATGTTTCAGAATTGAATAAATAAGATTATCAAAAAAAATATTTTTATTTTAAATGAGAAATTGAATATAATAAAAATATTAATAATAAAAATATGTATCAATTCAATAATTTCAATAACAATATTTTGATTAGCTCAATATAATTCAAACTATTTATATATAAGTTTTAAAATATATAATTAAAAAAGAAAAATGAAATTTTTAAGTATTAAAAGATATTTGTTTTATTATATTATTTGTTCTCAAGTTTTAATATATTAAATCAAAACTTAATTATAACTTATATTTATATATTTTTATAAATATGAACATAATAATTTAATAATAAAAAAAGAATATAAAGAATAAATATATTAAACTTTAATTTACTAAATATAAAAAAAATAAAAGAGAAAAATAAATAATAAATATATATACTCAATGAATAATATTTGGAATTAGAAATTAATTTTATTAATAAAATATTTACTAATCGTTAAATTAGCTTATAAACAAGAATCTGAATTGGGAGAGGGTATAAACTAAGGTTGCTTGCCGAAATCTCTTAGTAACTGTCTAAATTTTGTCAAAATTATAATAAACTATTAGTAAATAACCCATCGAAATTCTGACGAATTTTGAAACCCGTCGTAACTGAAAT